GTCGGTACGCCAAGTCTGTCGTTGAGTACTGCAAGACTGTCAGTGTCTGCGGCCAAAGCGGAAGATCACCGGGGTACCGAAGCAGCAAGGGCCGGAGTGGAAGGCAGTAAGATGGCAGCGTTGCGCTCTTTCAGGCGCGCCTGAGGTTTGTGTTTTAAATGTGGCGAACGATGGGGCAAGGATCACACATGTCCTCCTACTGTGCAGATGCATGTAGTGGAGGAACTATTGGAGCTCTTTGCAACAGAAGAGGTGCTAGGGGAAAACAATCGCAAACCAAACGAGCTGGACGAAGACAACCTCTGCACCATTTCCAAGCAAGCGGTGGACGTGTCTGCCGGGCCGGGTGTGATGCAACTGCATGCATGGATTCAAGGGGAGGAAATGTCATTGCTGGTTGACTCGGGCAGCTCCTCCTCATTTGTCGATCATCACATGGCAGCCAAGCTATCTGGGGTATGCAAACTGCCCAAGACATGCAGAGTTAAAGTGGCAGATGGAGCTGTGTTGAACTGCGACAGTTTCATACCACAGTGTCAATGGACATCTCAGGGGCACGCATTTGTCACAGATTTCAAACTCCTATCACTTGGATCTTATGATGCTATCTTGGGGATGGACTGGCTCAAGAAACACAGCCTCATGAACATTGATTGGGAGGCGCAGCATATGACAGTTACAACAGAGGAAGGGCTGGTCGAATTGCAAGCAGTTTGCAATAATCAACATCAGTGCTCTGCTATATCATCCCAAGAATTGTTAACGGCATGCAAGCAGGGCTCGGTAGCGTATGTGGTCCACCTAAATGTTGTGAGTGAAGCGGGATTACAAGAAGAAGCCATTCCAGTAGAGATCCTCAGAGTTCTGGAGCAATATACGGATGTTTTCGAGGAACCAAAAGGACTTCCACCCAGGCGTGCTTGCGATCACAGAATTCCACTCATGGAGGGGGCACAACCTGTCAATCAACGACCATACCGCCACAAACTAGAGCTCAAGAATGAGATAGAGCGTCAGGTTAAGGAATTGCTTGATGCAGGCATCATCAGAGAGAGTACGAGCCCCTTCTCTTCACCTGCTCTTTTGGTGAAGAAGAAAGATGGTACATGGCGGCTGTGTGTGGACTATAGATGTCTGAATGCGATGACGATTGTCAGCAAGTATCCAGTTCCGATCATAGATGAGCTACTCGATGAATTGGTTGGAGTGAAATGGTTCTCTAAATTGGATCTGCGTGTAGGATATCACCAGATAAGATTGGCAGAAGGGGAAGAATACAAAACAGCCTTCACAACTCACTCGGGGCACTGGGAGTACTTGGTCATGTCGTTTGGGCTTGCTGCTGCACCCCCAACTTTCATCGGAGCAGTCACTTGTACCCTGCGACCACTACTGCGAGAATGTGTCATCCTCTTCTTTGATGACATCTTGGTTTTCAGTAAAACTCTGAAACAACATGTGGAACATCTCCGTCAGGTGCTGCAATTACTCCGAAGAGATCATTGGCAAGTCAAGCAATCCAAATGTGCTTTTGGGCAGCAGCAGATCACCTATTTAGGACATGTTATCAGTGAACAGGGTGTGGCCACAGATCCAGAGAAGATTGAAACTGTCAGAAAATGGCATGTTCCTTGCAACAGCAAAGAGGTGCGTAGTTTCCTCGGTCTAGCTGGATACTACAGAAAATTTGTCAAGCACTTTGGCATTATTGCAAGGCCACTTTTCAATTTGCTGAAAAAGAACCACCCCTTTGTTTGGACTGCTGAAACAGCCAAGGCATTTGAACTGTTGCAACAAAGTCTGATCTCAGCACCGGTGCTGCATCTGCCAGACTTTTCCAAGCAATTTGTCATTGACACAGATGCGTGCGATTATGGGGTGGGAGCAGTGTTACAGCAGGCAGGACACCCGATCGCTTATATGAGCAAGCCATTGGCTCCTAAGCACAAGGGCCTTTCCACCTACGAGAAGGAATGCTTGGCTATTCTCATGGCAGTAGAACAGTGGCATCCCTACTTGCATCATGATGAATTCTTGATAAGAACAGATCAGCATAGCCTGGTGCACCTGGATGATCAGCGGCTGTCGACAGTATGGCAACAAAAAGAATTTACCAAGCTTTTGGGGCTACGTTATAAGATCTGCTACAGACAAGGGACCACAAACAGTGCAGCTGATGCTTTATCTCGTCGGCACCACGAAGACGTTCAATCCATGGCAATCTCGGTCTGCCAACCATCTTGGATTGAAGATATCAAGGCTAGTTATTCGAGTAACCCACATGCAAAGAAGCTATTGGAGCAATTCTCTCAACAGGCAGACCCGAAAGGGCGCTTTTCAGTTGCCGAGGGACTGTTGTATTTCCGACAACGGCTATGGTTGGGTGGATCTCCAGCACTCCAACAAGCCATGTTGCGTGCTTTTCATGATAGCACTGTGGGTGGACACTCAGATTTCCCTGTGACGTATCGACGTCTCCGCCGGCTCTTTGCGTGGCCAAAGATGAAGCAGGACATTCGGCAGTATGTGCAGGGTTGTGCCATATGTCAGCAGGCTAAACCGGAGAGGGTTAAATATCCCGGGTTGCTCGAACCAATTCCACTTCCAGAGGGAGCCTGGCAAGTGGTGACAATGGACTTCATTGATGGCCTCCCCCAGTCAGGCAGAGCAAATTGTATCTTAGTGGTGGTGGATAAATTTACTCGCTACGCCCACTTTTTACCTCTCCAGCACCCGTTCACAGCAGCCAGGGTAGCTAGAGCATATCTGGACAATGTTTACAAACTCCATGGTCTGCCCAAAGCCATCATCTCGGACAGAGATCCAGTGTTCACCAGTAAATTTTGGTGTGAGTTGTTTGCCTGCATAGGTTCTGAATTGAAGATGAGCACTCCGTATCACCCGCAAATGGATGGACAGTCAGAAAGAGTGAATTAGTGCCTCGAGATCTATTTGCGATGCTTTATCCACGCCTGCCCAAGTCACTGGAGTCAGTTCCTCTCCTTGGCTAAATTCTGGTACGATGCCAGCCACCACTCGGCACTGGACATGTCTTCATCCCGGGCATTGTATGGGCATGAGCCAAGACACTGGGGAATTGAAGCAGCATCGGTATGCAAAGTCCCAGCACTGAAGGACTGGCTCGAGGAGCGCAAAACTATGCAACAAGTACTGCGGCAACACTTGCACAGAGCTCGTCATATTATGAAAGTTCAAGCAGACAAGAAGCGATCTAACAGGGAGTTTCAAGTGGGTGACGCTGTCTTCGTCAAGCTGCAACCTTATGTACAAACATCGGTGCATCGACGAGCCAACCACAAGCTATCGTTCAGGTATTTTGGCCCGTTCCAGGTACTTCGCAAGATCAATCCAGTGGCGTATGAGCTAGCACTGCCGCAGGAGTCGCGCATTCACCCTGTCTTTCACGTATCTCAATTACGTCAAGCGCTGGCACCAGGTACAACCGCATCGTCTTCACTCCCGGTACCCCGTTTTGCTAAACTAACCCCAGTGGAGCTCTTGGACAAACGCTGGCGGCAAACACCTGCTGGCCGCCGCGAGCAATACTTGGTGCGCTGGTCTGATTCAGAGCTGCTCGATGCCTCTTGGGAAGACGCTCTTGCACTCAAAGGCAGGTATCCGGCTGTAGCAGCTTGGGGTCAAGCATGCTCTCAAGGAGTATGGGATGTCAGGGACCCAACATCAGATACGTCCCCAGCGAACAGAGCCCTTGACAAGTCAGCGAGGAAGAATAGCGTGGCAGCGGAAGAGCACCTTTTCGCCAATCAGGGGCAAGGGCGCGTCATCTCCAGGCCACCTCGGATCAGGCAACCGAACCGCAGGTTCGTGGGCCCGAAATGGTCGAATGCTACATAAGCGGAAGGAAGCAGCTGGTTCGGTATCCAGGAGGATCAGGCAACGGCACGGCATCCCTTTTTACTTTTGTTTTCTTCTTTACCTTTCCACAAGACAAAGTCGGCACCAGTTTCGGCCCCGGCGAAAAACGGGCTCCTGGGAACGCGACTGGGCCGATTTTCGGCCGCCGGCGCAAAAAAAACACCTATGGGGGGCCTGTTAAGGGCACGGCTGAAGATGCGCTAATGTCCTAGGCTTCCCGTCTTTGGATCTTCCTCTTGCTTTGTGCGTTGTGTTTACCCTGGGCTGTCGTCAACCCCTTGTAATATCTGCATCTTCCATGCACCTATGCTTTGACTATCCTTTACCGCGTGCACCACGGTGCAATCAATCTTCAAGTGGACGGTTTTGACCCTCTCCTCCACCTTTCAATAAAAAAAAGAAATTTTTTATTAGAAACATAGCACAAACACAGATGCTTAAAAACACATATATGCACTTGCATGTATGAAGTATGAACGCGCTCGCGCACGCACATCCTATACCCCTATGAGCTGCCGGCGGGGACATCGCTTCCCAATAAAAGAATATCCCGACTTTACGAGACAAGAAAGCGTTAACCCTGGGGTTTGATCAACCGCTACCGTCGTAACCATCCAACCGTGCCATGACTTTTCGTGACCCTTTTAAGGAGCGTTACACATCATGCATATGGCGCACAGTAGTACTACGTACGTGAATGTCTCCCGCGCGCATGCATGGGTGATGGGTCGAATCATTGGTGCATATGCATATGTACGGTTGGCCGATCTGAATCTGATTATGGCGCCAACAACCACACCATCATCATCATCGCCGCCGGTGGCCATCTTCAACCAGCACACAATTCGGCCCATGAATGATGAGTGGTTCAAGCGCACGTGGCATCCATCCACTCTACTCCCTCCGTTCTTTTTTATAAGACGTTTCAGACAGCTGAGATTGAACTGTTTTGGGCACTGTCTGAAATGTCTACAACGTCTTATAAAAGTGAAGAGAGGAAGTACTATAAATGGCCATCGATGCATGCCGCCTCTTCTTCACTCTACCTACCTATAGACAGAGTCACTCTCTCAGCTCCCTCGCCGATCGACCGAGGGAGGAGGATGGGGTTCGTGTCGCTGCTGGCGGTGGCGTCAACGCCGGTGGTGGAGGTGCTGCTCGTCGCCCTCCTCGGCGCCTACCTCGCCTCCCCGCGCTGCGGGCTCCTGGCCCCCTCCGCCCGCGCTGACATCAACCGCGTCGTCTACGCCGTCTTCACCCCGGCGCTCCTGCTCGCCAGCCTCGCCTCCACCGTCACCCTCCAGGACGCCCTCTCCTGGTGGTTCATGCCGGTGAACATCGGCATCATCTTCTTCGCCGGCGGGGTCCTGGGGTGGCTGGCCGTGCTCATCCTCAGGCCGCCGCCGCACCTCCGGGGGCTCGTCGTCGCGTCATGCTCCGCCGCCAACTTCGGCAACCTGCTCCTCATCGTCATCCCCGCCGTGTGCCGCGAGGACGGCAACCCTTTCGGCGGCGACTGCACCAGCCGCGGCCTCTCCTACGCCTCCTTCTCCATGGCGCTCGGTGGGCTGTACATCTGGACGCACACGCACGGCGTCATGAAGCGGTCCAGCGAGGTACGTCGGAGGATGGTCGCCGACCAGAAGGCTGCTGCTGCTGAAGCTCATGACCATAACAAAAATGTCAGGCCAGGGGAGAAAGGAACAGAGGAAGAAGACGAGCCGAGCTGGAACGACGGCGATGGCGAGGAGGACGGGCTTTCCCCACTGCCGTCGTCTTCGTCCAACCAACACCACACAGTAAGTAACACGGCAAGCTGCAGATCTGACCACCCTGGTTGGATTTTCACCCTGGTTGGATTTTCCTGTCAGGCGGCACTGGCGCCGTTGCTGTCTAGTGTGGGCGAAGCTGAAGCAGGGCGCGCACCAGATCGTCGACGAGCTCATGGCGCCGCCGACCGTCGGGGCGGTAAGTTGAGCTAGTTTCAATCAACATTACCAATTTAGAATCTGGTGGCCGTCATCATCAGAACTTCACAAGAATGAAATGAGATCTGCATATTCTGAACAGCAGTGCAGCTGAAATGAGCTGGTTGCTGACTCATTTGCCATGGCAGGTTCTAGGCTTCACCGTCGGCACGGTGCCGTGGCTGAGATCCGCCTTCATCGGCGACAACGCTCCGCTGCGAGTCGTCCAGGACTCCCTCAAACTGCTCGGGTAATATGCAATCTCCTGTCCAGTTCAGTTTACAGTTCAACACTGCATACACATGCAGTGCATCTACTCACTGAAAAATAATGGCATTCTTTGTTGCAGAGATGGCACCATCCCCTATGTGATTCTCATCCTTGGAGGCAACCTCACCAAAGGTAAACAACAACTGAATCTCTCTCTCAGTCTGTCAGTCTCAGACCATCTGAAAACTGAAAAATGGTCTGTGTGCAGGCCTGCGCAAGACGACCATGTCGCGGTGGGTGATCACGGCCATCGTCTGTGTGCGCTATGTGATCCTGCCGGTGGTCGGGGTGGCGGTGGTGAGGACGGCGAGGGAGCTCGGCTTCCTGCCGCCCGACCCACTGTACCAGTACGTGCTGATGCTCCAGTTCGCGCTGCCGCCCGCGATGAGCATCGGCACCATGGCGCAGCTCTACGACGTGGCCCAGGAGGAGTGCTCCGTCGTCTTCCTCTGGACCTACCTCGTCGCCGCCCTCGCCCTCACCGCCTGGTCCACCGTCTTCATGTCCATCCTCGCCCCCGCCTAGTATATTGCTAGTATGTGTATATAAGATTCCTCCGTCCCAAAATAAGTGTTTCAACCTTAATAAAAGAATATCCCGACTTTACGAGACAAGAAAGCGTTAACCCTGGGGTTTGATCAACCGCTACCGTCGTAACCATCCAACCGTGCCATGACTTTTCGTGACCCTTTTAAGGAGCGTTACACATCATGCATATGGCGCACAGTAGTACTACGTACGTGAATGTCTCCCGCGCGCATGCATGGGTGATGGGTCGAATCATTGGTGCATATGCATATGTACGGTTGGCCGATCTGAATCTGATTATGGCGCCAACAACCACACCATCATCATCATCGCCGCCGGTGGCCATCTTCAACCAGCACACAATTCGGCCCATGAATGATGAGTGGTTCAAGCGCACGTGGCATCCATCCACTCTACTCCCTCCGTTCTTTTTTATAAGACGTTTCAGACAGCTGAGATTGAACTGTTTTGGGCACTGTCTGAAATGTCTACAACGTCTTATAAAAGTGAAGAGAGGAAGTACTATAAATGGCCATCGATGCATGCCGCCTCTTCTTCACTCTACCTACCTATAGACAGAGTCACTCTCTCAGCTCCCTCGCCGATCGACCGAGGGAGGAGGATGGGGTTCGTGTCGCTGCTGGCGGTGGCGTCAACGCCGGTGGTGGAGGTGTTGCTCGTCGCCCTCCTCGGCGCCTACCTCGCCTCCCCGCGCTGCGGGCTCCTGGCCCCCTCCGCCCGCGCTGACATCAACCGCGTCGTCTACGCCGTCTTCACCCCGGCGCTCCTGCTCGCCAGCCTCGCCTCCACCGTCACCCTCCAGGACGCCCTCTCCTGGTGGTTCATGCCGGTGAACATCGGCATCATCTTCTTCGCCGGCGGGGTCCTGGGGTGGCTGGCCGTGCTCATCCTCAGGCCGCCGCCGCACCTCCGGGGGCTCGTCGTCGCGTCATGCTCCGCCGCCAACTTCGGCAACCTGCTCCTCATCGTCATCCCCGCCGTGTGCCGCGAGGACGGCAACCCTTTCGGCGGCGACTGCACCAGCCGCGGCCTCTCCTACGCCTCCTTCTCCATGGCGCTCGGCGGGCTGTACATCTGGACGCACACGCACGGCGTCATGAAGCGGTCCAGCGAGGTACGTCGGAGGATGGTCGCCGACCAGAAGGCTGCTGCTGCTGAAGCTCATGACCATAACAAAAATGTCAGGCCAGGGGAGAAAGGAACAGAGGAAGAAGACGAGCCGAGCTGGAACGACGGCGATGGCGAGGAGGACGGGCTTTCCCCACTGCCGTCGTCTTCGTCCAACCAACACCACACAGTAAGTAACACGGCAAGCTGCAGATCTGACCACCCTGGTTGGATTTTCACCCTGGTTGGATTTTCCTGTCAGGCGGCACTGGCGCCGTTGCTGTCTAGTGTGGGCGAAGCTGAAGCAGGGCGCGCACCAGATCGTCGACGAGCTCATGGCGCCGCCGACCGTCGGGGCGGTAAGTTGAGCTAGTTTCAATCAACATTACCAATTTAGAATCTGGTGGCCGTCATCATCAGAACTTCACAAGAATGAAATGAGATCTGCATATTCTGAACAGCAGTGCAGCTGAAATGAGCTGGTTGCTGACTCATTTGCCATGGCAGGTTCTAGGCTTCACCGTCGGCACGGTGCCGTGGCTGAGATCCGCCTTCATCGGCGACAGCGCTCCGCTGCGAGTCGTCCAGGACTCCCTCAAACTGCTCGGGTAATATGCAATCTCCTGTCCAGTTCAGTTTACAGTTCAACACTGCATACACATGCAGTGCATCTACTCACTGAAAAATAATGGCATTCTTTGTTGCAGAGATGGCACCATCCCCTGTGTGATTCTCATCCTTGGAGGCAACCTCACCAAAGGTAAACAACAACTGAATCTCTCTCTCAGTCTGTCAGTCTCAGACCATCTGAAAACTGAAAAATGGTCTGTGTGCAGGCCTGCGCAAGACGACCATGTCGCGGTGGGTGATCACGGCCATCGTCTGTGTGCGCTATGTGATCCTGCCGGTGGTCGGGGTGGCGGTGGTGAGGACGGCGAGGGAGCTCGGCTTCCTGCCGCCCGACCCACTGTACCAGTACGTGCTGATGCTCCAGTTCGCGCTGCCGCCCGCGATGAGCATCGGCACCATGGCGCAGCTCTACGACGTGGCCCAGGAGGAGTGCTCCGTCGTCTTCCTCTGGACCTACCTCGTCGCCGCCCTCGCCCTCACCGCCTGGTCCACCGTCTTCATGTCCATCCTCGCCCCCGCCTAGTATATTGCTAGTATGTGTATATAAGATTCCTCCGTCCCAAAATAAGTGTTTCAACCTTAATAAAAGAATATCCCGACTTTACGAGACAAGAAAGCGTTAACCCTGGGGTTTGATCAACCGCTACCGTCGTAACCATCCAACCGTGCCATGACTTTTCGTGACCCTTTTAAGGAGCGTTACACATCATGCATATGGCGCACAGTAGTACTACGTACGTGAATGTCTCCCGCGCGCATGCATGGGTGATGGGTCGAATCATTGGTGCATATGCATATGTACGGTTGGCCGATCTGAATCTGATTATGGCGCCAACAACCACACCATCATCATCATCGCCGCCGGTGGCCATCTTCAACCAGCACACAATTCGGCCCATGAATGATGAGTGGTTCAAGCGCACGTGGCATCCATCCACTCTACTCCCTCCGTTCTTTTTTATAAGACGTTTCAGACAGCTGAGATTGAACTGTTTTGGGCACTGTCTGAAATGTCTACAACGTCTTATAAAAGTGAAGAGAGGAAGTACTATAAATGGCCATCGATGCATGCCGCCTCTTCTTCACTCTACCTACCTATAGACAGAGTCACTCTCTCAGCTCCCTCGCCGATCGACCGAGGGAGGAGGATGGGGTTCGTGTCGCTGCTGGCGGTGGCGTCAACGCCGGTGGTGGAGGTGTTGCTCGTCGCCCTCCTCGGCGCCTACCTCGCCTCCCCGCGCTGCGGGCTCCTGGCCCCCTCCGCCCGCGCTGACATCAACCGCGTCGTCTACGCCGTCTTCACCCCGGCGCTCCTGCTCGCCAGCCTCGCCTCCACCGTCACCCTCCAGGACGCCCTCTCCTGGTGGTTCATGCCGGTGAACATCGGCATCATCTTCTTCGCCGGCGGGGTCCTGGGGTGGCTGGCCGTGCTCATCCTCAGGCCGCCGCCGCACCTCCGGGGGCTCGTCGTCGCGTCATGCTCCGCCGCCAACTTCGGCAACCTGCTCCTCATCGTCATCCCCGCCGTGTGCCGCGAGGACGGCAACCCTTTCGGCGGCGACTGCACCAGCCGCGGCCTCTCCTACGCCTCCTTCTCCATGGCGCTCGGCGGGCTGTACATCTGGACGCACACGCACGGCGTCATGAAGCGGTCCAGCGAGGTACGTCGGAGGATGGTCGCCGACCAGAAGGCTGCTGCTGCTGAAGCTCATGACCATAACAAAAATGTCAGGACAGGGGAGAAAGGAACAGAGGAAGAAGACGAGCCGAGCTGGAACGACGGCGATGGCGAGGAGGACGGGCTTTCCCCACTGCCGTCGTCTTCGTCCAACCAACACCACACAGTAAGTAACACGGCAAGCTGCAGATCTGACCACCCTGGTTGGATTTTCACCCTGGTTGGATTTTCCTGTCAGGCGGCACTGGCGCCGTTGCTGTCTAGTGTGGGCGAAGCTGAAGCAGGGCGCGCACCAGATCGTCGACGAGCTCATGGCGCCGCCGACCGTCGGGGCGGTAAGTTGAGCTAGTTTCAATCAACATTACCAATTTAGAATCTGGTGGCCGTCATCATCAGAACTTCACAAGAATGAAATGAGATCTGCATATTCTGAACAGCAGTGCAGCTGAAATGAGCTGGTTGCTGACTCATTTGCCATGGCAGGTTCTAGGCTTCACCGTCGGCACGGTGCCGTGGCTGAGATCCGCCTTCATCGGCGACA